GGACTTGGGTCACAGCCATCTTGGTGTCCTCAACTATTAGCTCAGTGCACAGCACATAGCAGGCATGTAGTAACTGTGCAAAGAACTGAATTGTCTTCCTCTAACCCTTGAAGTAAATCTTATTTTATCCTTCAAATTACAAAGCCTCTGGCAAACTCCCTCTGGGGCTTAGAAGAGTAACTGATCCAATCCTAGCCTTCGTCATCACCTCAACATGAAGCCACCATCACTCAGAACTCACAAGGCTGCCCCACATGCAGACAATCAACGCTGGTCAAATTGTTGCTGAGCACCTGTTATGGGCAAGACATTGTGCTTTGCACTAGGTAGTACACAAAGAAGTGTGAGATCTTGGCCCTAGCGTAGAGGAGCTTTGATTAAAACAGAGAGAGGACCAGAAATAACAACAATCACTCCTCTGTTTAAGGAGTATACAACTGAAATGAGCTTAGAAAACCTGCTGAGAAAACATGCACAGAAATAACTAACTGTGGTGGGAGGCCCTTTGAACGATACACAGTTGGTGCTGGCAACAAGGACCATAAGACATTGACAAATAAGCTTCATCTTGCACGCCACTCAGATTGACTGACAGTGCCTTCTACAGGAAGAAGAATTCTGAACTGCATCAGACTAAAATCAGACATTTCTAATCGAGCACAGGAAAAAGTGCTGTGCTCGATTAGAAATGTCTGTCATGGGCCAGCCCGGTGGCGCACTGGATAAGTGCGCCGCTTGGGAAGCGCGGCGGCGCTNCAACCCCTCTATTTCATAAATTAAAAACAAAACAGAAAAGGAAAAAAAAAAAACAGCAACCCCGAGAAGATGAGTTACTTGCCTAAGGTTACATAGCTCAGGCCTTTGTCATGAGCACCCCGAGCCTCTACAGCACTACTCGTTCCCTTTGGAAACAGGCTGGGTGGCCAGTCCAGCAGAAGGCAGCTCAGGAGCCGTTCTGAGGTGCCAGCACCTTTCCCACAAAGTACACACCTGGTCTCACCTTATCAACATAGTTGGCAACCTCCATGAGCTTGTGTTTGGTGGCGTCCTGGTCTCGTCGATTCTTCTGAAACTAAATGGGACAAGCAGAACCAGGTGAGACCCCAGAACCTCTCCCAGGACCCTTCCTGTGTCCCATTACTTGTCACTGAATTTGTTCTTATTTTTTTCTGTCTTCTATGAACAGTCATTTTTATGCAATTGCCTTCCCTACCATGGTGACAGCTCGTGGAGGGCAGGACTTGGGTCACAGCCATCTTGGTGTCCTCAACTATTAGCTCAGTGCACAGCACATAGCA